CAGTCGCAAATGATTCATCATCGGGTAGATTAAGCAGATTTTGATGATCTAATAAACGTTCCGAGTGGACATCAGGGCCACAATCATGTAACACAATCTAGACTGTCTCTTTCCCACGTCCTGTAATCTCGTCAATCGGGTCAAAAAAGTTCGCGTAGTGAAAACATCTGAGAGTAAGCATGGCGTACTGTTTGCGGGAATGACCGGGGTTCTAGTTACGGATCTTAAGACGAATTCCTGGGTAGCATGAGGACTGCATTCTTGGCAGTCCTGAGATGGTTGAAGACGGGACGGACGACTGGGTAGCGTTTAAAACCACAAGATTCCTGGACTGATTACAGGAATGTCAATTTAGCCGGACAGTGTACATTTAAAAGATGCTCTTCCTGTGTTCTTCAATACTTTCATTTTTTTTTCTCCTAACAAATTCTCAATTTATGTTTTACTTCAGCAAAAATAAAACTGCTCTAAAAAGTAACCCTCTAAAAAGAGCCTTTTTTGGGTTGTTTTGTTCTCCAATCCAGCTTGTTCTCCAATTGGCAAATTAATTTATTGTTATCTGTTACATTCACAATTGAACAATTTATGTCGTTAGAAAAACGACAATTAAAAAAAAATTGGAATGAAACTTGAAAAAAGTAGAGGAGAGCATTTTTAATATTATGAATAAAAAAAAAATCAATTTTTCCTCAAGTTACCGGCAAGTCCTTTTGGCTTGCTAGTGACAATCGACCAAAGACCTGATTTTTTTTTTATATCAGAGTTAAATTTATATGGGCAAACTTTCAAATACGGATGGTAGTCATTCCAGAGCAATTAAGAGCTGCAACGGTGATTCAGTTTACCAAATCTGCACCAAATTACTGCCAAATTGTAGCCCATCTGAACCATATTTTGGTCAATACTAGAACTGATGTTGAAATAAACCGAGTCTGATGGCCAAGTGGCCTTGGCTTGAACATTTCCGCTGTCGTGCATGCCAAATGCTCTCCTCGGGGCAGTAAACATTCTTGTATTTGATCAACATTGTACATTTATTGGCTGTAAAAGTGCAATTATGAAGCAGCTACATGTATGACCAAAACGGTATGTGTGGCTTTATTCTCGGAGGCAGTTCTCTGGCATTATTTACTGATGACAAGTGTAACAGGATATTGCATGGGAAACTGTGGTACATGTACATACCGATACGTACTCTATGTACATGTACCAAAAGCATGGTACATGTAAATGTTATGAATGCGCATAAGGCCCCCCAAAAAATACCTCGGTCTCTGGTCAGCGTGCGCGTCGATTTTAATCATGCGCGTCAACCTTTTTTTTTTTCAAATTAACACGGAAGCTACAACAGCCCCCTCTATTGCCGCACCTCCTCAAATTTTTGTACCAAGGAGCACCAAGGAATGGGGAAATTGCACCAAGGCAAATGATAAAGGGCACCAAGGCAAATTATGGAGGACACCAATGTATAATGAGGACACAAAAAAGCAAAATAGTACCCACCTTGTCTGTACAATTCATGCTTGAAAAAAACAACAAAAAAAACCGCGTCGCCGCATCAATTCCAGAACTTCGGTCTGACCAGAGACCAATTTTTTTTTTTGGGGCCTAAACTTCCTTTTCTTGTTTTTGTTTGACAACTTTTGGTTTATCCGTGCTGTTTCATTTGTTTATTTTGCCAAGTGTTGGAACATTGCCATTTGTAAACAAACAAAAAAAAGGAAAGGAAATGTTATGCACTTCTTTTTTTCTACCAACTTAATTAACCGTTAGAACCTCCCCACTCCATCAAAATCCATCCCAACATTTTAGTGGATTTTGGGGGACTTGGTCCTGCAGGCCTGGTTTGACTAAATATTGATGGAGTATGATGGACTTGGGTCTGGAGGCCTAAAGCAAAGCATACATTGGAAGCAGTGTGATGATGGATTTTGGCGGACTTGGTCCAGTACTTTGTAAAAGACAGTAGGACTTAAGGTTACAAATGTTCATAACATTTCCTTATTCCTTTGAGAAGTAATGACTTTATTAGGCCTACACACTGCATGATGGAGAATGGACTGTCCTGAAGTTACTTTATTGACTAAACATGCACAGGTTCATGAAGATTTATCCAAATACCATCATTTCCATGCTAAGGCCGAAACCAGTCTTAAGATCTTTGCTCCAAAAACGTCAGATTACAGCTCAGCTCACATTGTTACAGTGTGTATTTCTACAGTACATTTGTAATTTCTAGAAGGCTTGTCACTAGGCTTGCAATTCGTCAGTAGTTTGACCCTGTCATGATCCCATTAAAAGCCCACGTAGGTTGCTTCTGGCTCCACTGTGTGTTCAACTACAACAATAATTTACTCTCCCCGTGTCAAAATGCCCCGCGCTTGTTTATTTAAACCGTTTGACTTCCAGGAGTCTGTCATTTTGATGGGTTGATTTTCTGAACTTTGGTGAACAGGTTGTGGAAAAGACGAAACACTCTAGTCAAACGTGACTGGAGTAATTTATAAAGGACTTGGGGGGAAAAAATAGGAGTTGAAGTTTTGCCTGGAGTGATCAGCAATACATTCATGTGAATTTAATATTTATGCTTTGGAAAAGTACCATAAGTTATGTTTTCAGGTACTAGTAGTAATACCTCTACGTGTTTTGGTATGTGGACATTAGGGACTATTAGATATTGTACACGTACGGGATACGTATGCGGCTCGGAAAGAATGACCTATATAAATCACCGTTTTGGGTCAGGATTTCACCAGACGTACAAATACATTTCAATATTTTGATGTACAATGTATATGTAACATGCACATTGGCGGGAGTGTGCCCGATGAAATGCCAATGCGATGTGGTGATTCAATTGGTCACTTTTTCTGGGCCTCATACCGGTACCTTCATCTACCATAGAAGCACCATTTCTAATGGTCCCCATTGTGTAATTTGCAGCCTGCCGATGCTGCAGCATTCTAGAGACCTGTTTTTTTACACATTGTACAGGTCACCATGAGGAGAAACATTTTTTTTCCTCTGTCATTCCAAAGCTCTACTTGATGAAGTGACTGGCTACTTCTCACCCATAGAGGGGGCTATTGCATCTGATAGTAGAGTGGTAGACAGTGATTAAAATATAAAGGGTTAAGTTTTTATGGTTTGCTTGTTTCTTCTTCTTTTTTATGCCCCGCGGCGAAGCCGAAGGGGCATACTGTTTCCGCCTTGTCCTTCCGTGGGTGGGTGGGTGGGTGGGTGTGTGTGTGTGGGTGAGTTTGTCTTACATACGCAGTGTGGACTTCCGAACAAAAGACGTCCACATAATGTAGGTAGCACCGACGTTGTGTGGACTTACCCCACATCCACACAGTGTTTCCCCATTTCTGGAAAACAGGTTTAGAGGCATTTTTGGGTTAGGTTTATCTGTAGCAGAATGAAGAGAAACACTAAAGGGAATCATAGAAAAAAAATTGGGTTGAAAGAGTTTTCACAGTTTGAGAAAAATGAGTTTTTTCACTGGTTTTTCTTAACTACACGAAAGCAATGGAAAGTCCACACTAGTCATGTGAAACAAGTATGGGTGGGTGGGTGTGTGTGTCCGGACAAATCTTGTCAGCGCGATAACTTGAGAAATACTTAACATATGAACTTCAAATTTGGTTTGTGGATTGTTCTTGGTAATCCTAAGAAGCCTTTCGCATTTGGGGCCAAAAGGCCAAAGGTCAAGTTCACAGTGGCTAAAACAATAGAAATCTTGTCAGCGCGATAACTTGAGAAATACTTTACATGTGAACTTCAAATTTGTTTTGTGGATTGTTTTTGGCAATCCTAAGAAGCCTTTTGCATTTGGGGCCAAAAGGCCAAAGGTCAAGTTCACAGTGGCTAAAACAATAGAAATCTTGTCAGCGCAATAACTTGAGAAATACTTTACATGTGAACTTCAAATTTGGTTTGTGGATTGTTCTTGGCAATCCTAAGAAGCCTATTGCATTTGGGGTCAAAAGGTCAAGTGTCAAGTCCACAGTGGCTAAAACAATAGAAATCTTGTCAGCGCGATAACTTGAGAAATACTTAACATATGAACTTCAAATTTGGTTTGTGGATTGTTCTTGGTAATCCTAAGAAGCCTATTGAATTTGGGGCCAAAAGGTCAAGGGTCAAGTTCACAGTGGCTAAAACAATAGAAATCTTGTATTTATTCTGAGATTATAGGGATTAGGGATTAATTCATATAAAACCTACAGAAGACACTAATGCTGTCAATGAATGTTCCATGTGACCAAGGTACATGTAAGTTGATGTTAAAAGAGTGGTGTTATGTCATGGGAACAGTCACGGTTGCGGGGCATTTGTGTTTGTAAACACACCTGACTTGTTTCAAAATGAAGTTTCTTACATCAGCAGAAGTGTATTGATTTCGCTGAAACCTGTTTTGCTAAACGTGTCTGTCTGCAGAACTATTTTCAGCAATCATTTTCATTAACAGAAATATTTGATCACACACTTAATTTGTCACAGATTTAGTCAATTTGTGAAAGACAGGTATGTGTAAGACTGAAAGCTTCAGCAACATACAAGTTTGGAGGATTGTTGAGGATTGAGGGCACATGGACATTCCGAATCAGTTGATTTTGGAGGATTGAGGCTGAACGGTGTTTGAAGAAGAGGAGGATTTTGGAGGATTGAGGATGGTTCCTACCAGTACCAAAAAGGCCTAGGGGGTTAGGGTTAACCCTAGCTGCCCCTAACCCTTTAAAATCCAACTGCATGTTTTGTTAGATTGAGTACTGCACTAATATTAACTGATTATGCTTTACATGGAGTTAGGCAAACCGGTACAACCATAATCAGAGTCCAACAGTTTGGTGTATGAGTTGCCATACAGTGTTGGATTTTGCAAGAGTGAGGAAGGTTCCTCACTCGAGGGGGTTAGGGTTAAGCTTCTTGTTATACACCTGCTTTTCCCTTCAATTTTGAATGTAATTTTTTTCGATGCCTTTTGTTTGCTACTACAGAAAGAAGAGAGACAACAACCAGTGGTGGGAGCTCTTTGATCCCAAGACCAAACGGTTCTACTACTACAATGAAATGTTGGAGAAGACAGTCTGGCATCGGCCACTCAACTGTGACATCATACCCCTGGCTAAGCTACAGGTAAGCTGATTGGTGAATTGAAATAATTGAATATGTAACAGGTGTGATTGACCAAGGATGTGAATTCATACCCCTGGCTGAACTCTGCAAGCTGATTGGTCAGTAGAAATAATGAATATGTAACAGGTTGTGTGATTGGCCAAGGATGTTACTTTATACCCTGGCTGATTTACAGGAAAGCTGATTGGTCTGAAATCAATGAATGTAACAGGTTGTGTGATTGGCTAGAGAAGTGTGGCTTCACACCCTTGGCTTGATTACAAGTAAGCTGATTGGTCAGTAGAAATTAATGAGTAACTGACAGATAATGTGATTGGTCAGTTGAGGTAAATGATGTAACAGGTCGTGTGATTGGCCAGAACACTGTGACATAATACCCCTGGCTGAACTAAAACATGCTCATGATATTTTACTTTCGAAATAATTTGGAAGTAATTATGATAGCGATAAATAGAACATAGGATGAAAGGTTGAAAAACTGGATGGATAAGAATGATTAAAACAATAAAGTTTAAATTGCTGGTACTGTTTAACGTCTAATCTGGTAATTTTCACCCAAATAATATCCAGGTAAATTTGTTCTGTGCACTCATTGGAATTTCACTTGAAAATTCTGAGAGAGAGAATTGTTAATAGCGCCCCCGCTGTTCAAATTATGCCAAGATCCATACACACTGGCTGCAGTCATTGTACATGTGCATGTCTTGAGGAAGTAGAATTTGCTGTGGGATATTTCGAATAGCGCCCTCTATTGACCTACTTGACCAATACTTCAACAACGACCATGACTCATTTGGAGGGTTGCCAAACATTTCCCAACTCAACGCAGAGAAAAAAAAATGAAAACGAAGAATCTGTTCTCGACAGTGCCACTTGATCTTCGGCTGTTGGAGTGTCCTCCTCCCCTATCCCAAACCAGAGCCCCGCCCACCCTCTTCATTAAAATACAATTTGCCGTTGATATTTTAATGACGCATCATTACCTCATCGTCCTTATATTAGAATCCTTGCAAGCGATGCCGCCAATCTCTGTAATTTCTTGAGAAGCCCATTCCGCACGACTGCACCCATCTTCTGCGGCTTAATTTATCAAAAAATCCCATCTTTTAATTGCCCTAAGGGGATGGAGCTTTGTATGCGGAGCTTTAGCCGGTTCCCACTCAGGTGACATGTAGTATTTGCATGCCCAGAGGCCATGGCATGGGCACCGGGGATCATCAGAGCTGGGTGGCCGTGCCTCATTTAGTATTCAGTTTTAACGCCCAATTTGAGAAACTTGCATAAATGATCACGCTGCGGGAATTTTTCTGTTTTCTTTGCCAAGACCCATATTTTTATTTGAATCATAGTCAGTTTTCCTAATTTGTCTCATTGTAAATTCATATCGACATGTTTGTGTGATAAGTAGGGAATTCAGAATTGTCTTAATTGGAACCATTTTGTTATTTCTCAAGTGTATTTTTTGTTTCGTTTTGTTTTATAAACTTGAAGAAATATTGGGTTTTGTATTGGTAAAAATGCCTGCTACCAGTCATCAAATTTATAACCGTACCTGAATATATTTTTTAGTTCAGTTACATTCTTAAAAAAAAAGAGAGAAATTAAAAGCCCTCCCCCTCTACTGAAAAACATTATTCTTCTCCAATTTATCATGAAGCTCATCACTGTAAAATAAATTGTAAAATAAAATTCACATAAATCGAATTTTCAGCGGAGTGCGCAATCAAGCCAAACACATTCACAGATGTCAAAAAAGTACACGCAGCATTCCATCATCACCCAATATGAAACACACTTGACATCCGAGACTGACATGAAAACCGTGTCGATTCATGCATCGTTTCCAGGCATCGATGGCACCTGATTAACATCAACCACAGAGGAATGCCCAATCTATTTTTAGACTGGAGGCTTTGCCTACTGATTAATATGATTAAGAAGTGTTAAGTGTAATCAGTTATCTATTTTTTCTTCGCTACTTATCACTCCTCTGTGTCAATACAGTTTATTAATACCTCTAATCGTGTACTTCCTGCGCAGTTTGTCATATTTTTTTTTCACAAAGGGATGTATGTGTTGTGGTGTTGATGGACAAAAAATAGTGTTTTCTTCAACGTGTTCATCTTACTTAAAATACATCTGACTGATTTGAGAAAAACTAAGCAAGAAGCACACAATTTGAACAGAATTATTTCATTACCTAAATATCTACTGCACTAGGCATTTCTGGCAAAATAACTGAATTTGTTAACTGAAAATCCCTTTTTATTAAAAAAACAAACAAAACAAGTCTTACACATCAATTGAGCGCGGACAGTACATGTACATGTACAATTTGTTTTTGGAGGGAACATGCCTATGCTTTTAAGACTGATTTTTAGTTCTCTGATGAACGGCCTTTTTTCCTTGATTTTAACCAAAAGTCTGCTTACAAGATATTTTGTCTTTAAACATTTGTGACCTACTGTGGCAAATTGAGGGATGTCTCCCAAAACCATGTTTTGAGTAATGGATACACTAAAAAAATCTTGTCAAAATCAATATTATTGTGTTTTTTTTCCGTATATTTGAGTAGCCAAGGTATCCAAGATGCACATCATGCCTTTTTGTAACTTTTGTGCGCTCTGAATTTACCTACCCCATTTTGATATGTGCTAATAAAAATATTTGTATTCATAAACATACTGAACAGCATACCATCACATAATATCCTAAAACTCTCCAACACTCTCTTAAAAATTCCTAACACGTACTCCCATCCCTGACCACGTGGTCTCCCCCAGCCTCACCCCAAAACACGTGTACAGACGACACAATCCCCACCGCACGCCGTGGAACAACCCGTCCCCAGATTACCCCAGGGACGCTCTAGCTTCATTAATAGTAAACGACCCATTTCCATTCCCGCGCTCATCGCCACTCACCCCCCCCCCCCCAACACAGACACACCGGTCGGACGTTTTCATGAATGGGACTCAAGCTCGTGTTACTATCGCCCGTCATCATGCTTAGATCAGTCACTGTCTCGTAACTACGAACACTAAACCCAAGATCCTTCGACTGGAGATATCCAATTATCCACCGCGTGAAACGGTTGCGGACGAGCCACTCAAGCATCCGAGAATCGCTCAGATGAGACCACGTGCGCCGGGTAATTTTCCCCAAGACAAAGCCACCGTGAAATTTGTTGGAGATGGCACGCGCTGACTACTTTGGCAGAGAATTCTGATAAAATTTACGGTCGGCGCCTTCTTTTCTGCATCTTGGAATGTTGTTGATGATTGATATTTTGGGAATCTCGCTATATTTGGAATTATGGAGTTTATGTGCTGTTTTCAATACCTGCTGTCGGTAAGAAAGATTTGAGAAAAAAACCCCGTTATTTTCTGTATTTTAGATTATTATTGTGAAAGAGTTTTTGCAAATGTGATTTTGCCACCATTTTTGTTATTTTTCTAATTGAGGATGAGTACACTTTGTAACGAACCAACGCTAGACATACATGTATTTACATGAAAATCCATCCACGTGTCTGAAAACTTGCCAAAATCTTGCATCATACCTTCTACAAATGTTTGAAGTGTGGCAAATATGCAGCCAAAAGTGCACTTGACCTTTACTTGAAACGCTGGCCAGTTGCAGGGTAGCATAGATGCATGGAAGAAAGGGTCGTTATCTTAACGCAGCTTGAATGCAGTGATGTGTCACTCAGAGAGGACATCAATATTTTTGCTTGCATCCATTTGAAGTGCCAAAAAAACGCCCTCTGTACAGTGCATGTGAAAAAGCTTTAAATTTCAACAGAAATCTGTATGTACATCGTACAATTTTAACAAGAGCTGTACGTAGAAGTGATGAATCATAAAATGCATTTTGCAAAAATAATTCCCCTCAAAATAAGGACTGAAATAGAGCAGACCAATTGAAAACATTATTGTTCAAAATTTTACACAGGCTTTATTTTCTGAGGAAATAGGCCTAACCTTGTAATAGAAAAGGCATTCCCTCGGATTGGCTGAACTAGGCTGAATATGACAGACACATTCAACGTCCGCCCCACATGATGTTGATACAGATGTCTTGAGATGACAGAAATCGATGAAAGAGAAAACACATCATGTAACTCGGTAAATCCCTCTTCAAATCGTTTCTCCAGACTCAGACATTTTCTCCTTAAAGCCATGTTTACATTGCAATTCTAACGGTTACAAAATCAGGGTTTTATGGTTGGCTAGCGGCCAAGGGAACTTTTATGTCTTTGTCATTTCCGATGTTTTTTTGCAATTTTGGAAAGTAAGTTCAGTCTTTCTTAAGTAGTTAAGCCAATCCCCCCACCAAAGAAAAGGAACAAAATTTGTGGCCTGAAATTGTGTAGCCATTGATTCAGTGGTGCGGAAATGATCGATGAGATTCAAAACTGTTTATAAAAGGAATGTCACATTGAATTTGAAAGTGCTTTTGACGTGGTTAGGCCAAAATAGAAGTACCTGGGAAAAAAAGACCTTAGATTTCAGAATTTTGAGGTCGGTCTGGTGTGGGCAACACTTTTTTTTCAGGGGGGGGGGGCTTTTTATGAAGGCTTTGTAGTATAATTTGTTAGCTGAAACTCTCAGACAAGTTTTTTTCCACAAAGAAAAGAGAATGGGGAAAATATATTACTAAAATAGCCTTTAAAGCAAAGAATGTTAGTGTGTGGATAAATATGTGTTATACTGTACTGCAATGACTGGCCATGATCCTGAAATTTGGAAAGCTTAAAAGTCCTTGACAGGTTTGCCCCTTTAAATTTAAAAACCAAACATGAGTCAGTAGTCCTGAGATGTCGAAGCCTTAAAGTCTTGACAGTTCTGCTCCTTTAAAGCCAAACATGAAACCACGCTCCTGAACCGTGTTGATGAAAAACTGTCACATTGTTTTCTCGTGCAGCTCTTCCCAACTCGTTCAAGGGTGTGTGATGCTCGGTAAATCAATACGCAAACCTTGAACAACATGTTGTAAAC